GTTTCCTGTCTTGTTTAAAGGCCTTCCCTATTTCAAGATTAAGCAAATATTGTTATTTATTTTCAATATTTGTATATTTTTACATGTAGATTATATACATGTATATGTTCCAATTTTGGTATATGTGCTATCAAAGGGAACACAAAAAGTTTACTTTGTTTTCCTCCAGATATATAAGTCAATTGTGCTAATCACTTTTATTAAATAATCCATTTATTATAGACAGCTGAGTTAGATAGAAATACTACAGGCAGTCAGATAGGGCTAGGCCATCAAGAGAGTTACAGCAAAGGTAAAACTCATCACAACTGTGGCCAGAGACGCATCTGCTGGAGATCAGGCCTCAAGATAAAGACGAGATGACCAGGCCTGTCTACTTCCTCAAAGGACAAACACCAAGCCTAATGAAGTCTAGATAAACATGAGTCACCCCAGTGGGTGACCAAAGACCTCTGGACCCATCATTTCCTAGAAGAAGTCTTTGTTCTTTCCGTCCACACTTGTTAACGTGACTTGTTTCCCAATTGAACCACTATTACCTAAACAACTATACTTGCAAACTTATTGGGTGATCATAGCTGTAACTCACATTATACTCATGTGGGTTTTGCTCTATAAAACTCCTCTGTGAAGTGGGGTCAACAGCTACCAATTTAGGACCTCTCCTGCCTCTCTGGAGCTATCCTACCAATAAATATCTTCCTACTCTTAACCTCCGTTGTTCTTAGAATTCATTCTTTGATTTTTAGGAACATGAGCTTGGTGTATCAGATATCTAACAGGTTGGGAGATATAATATTTTTACATTTCATGTCCTATATCAAATCGTGTATCACATTTGATCCAGGCATGGTGATATATGCCTGTAGTCTCAACTACTTGGGAGGCTGAGGCAAGAGGATTACTTGAGCCCAGGAATTTGAGAATAATTCATTTACCACTGAACTGAAATGCTACGTTAATAATATGATGTGCTCCACATTTACTTGCATATTTCTGGACTTTGTTCTGTTTTACTTGAACATATATCTAAATGCGTTTGTATCAAACTAATTACAGTAGTTTTATAGTAAGGTTTAATACATGGCAGGGCATTCTTACTATTTTTCTCATTCAGAATGTTCCCAGAAGTTCTTGTGTATTTATTCATCCATATGGACTTTAAAATAGGCCCAATTCTAAAAGTATCCCACTGGGATTCCCAATGGAATGTTTTAAATATACTTACTATTAGTGGAGGAGAGTTTTATTCTATTAAGATTGCCCTAATATAATGAAACATTTTTAATTTACTCAGATCTTCAGTCTTTTAGTACATTTTATAATTTTCTTCATAAAAGTTATATACTTTTCATTAGTTTTTGTTTTGGTTCTTTTTACTGTCAACAATGGGCTCTCCCTTCATTTCCATTTATATCTAGATTTCTTGTTACAGATTGCAATAAATTTTTCTTATAATCACATTACTAAATTGACTTATGAGTTCAATGGTTTTCTAGTTGAGTCTTACGGATTTCCTAGAAATACATTCATCATCTGCAGATAAAAATAATTTTCTCTTCTGTTCTAAAATATATAAAAGTTGAATTTTGTTATTGGTTTATTATACAAGCTAAATTCTTCAAAAACAATGTTGAATATTATTGATGTTAATGAATGTCCTTTATTGTCTCGTTTCCTATTTTAATGAGGACTACACCATTTCACCTCCCCCATCCCCATCCCCCCTAAGACCCCCTCTTTTATGCTGGGGATCCTGCCCAAGTCCTTGTGAATGCTAGGCGAATGCTCTACCACTGACTGAGCTATATCCCACCTCCTTCAGGGTTTTTTCGTTTATTTTGCAGAACCAGGGATTGAACCCAAGACCTTGTTCTGAGCTACATCCCTAGCCCCTTTTTATTTATTTTAAAATTTAATTTAATTTTTTAAATGGTAAGAAGATTTATTTGAAAAAGTAAAAGTGAAGAGTAAGGGGGAAATTGGCTCTGCAGAGTGATCTTGGACCGAGTAAAAGAGGAAAAAGCAAGATAAAGGTACACCTTGGGGGACACAGGGTGGGATATCATGATGAAAGTCATGATAGCCCCTAGCCCCTTTTCAATTTTTTATTTTGAGCTGGGTGTATTGGCACAGGCCTGTAATCCCAGCACTTAGGAGGCTGAGGAAGGAGAATTACAAGTTCAATGCCAGTCTAGGCCACATAATGAGTTCAAGTCCAGTCTGAACTACATAGCAAAAAATTTTGAGACAAGGTCTTGCCTAAACTGGGCTGTAATTTGCAATCCTCCTGCCTTAGCCTCTAGTGTGTGCCACCACGCCTGACTCTTATAATTTTGGGGGGGTTTTTTGTACCAGGGATTGAATTCATGACCTTGTGGTTGCCAGGCAGGTGCTGCGCCACTGAGCTACATCCTTGCCCCTTGGTCTTGTGATTTTTTTTTTTTTCTTTTTTCTTGGTACCAGGGATCGAACTCAGGACCTTGCGCTTGAGAAGCAGGCGGCGGAACCACTGAGCTAAATCCTTGGCCCCTGGTCTTGTGATTTTTAAAGAATAGACTTCATCAGCCTCTGAAGTTGGACAAATATAAGATTAGGCTACTTGTTTTCTTTTTTTTTTTTTAGTACTGGGGATCAAACTTGAGATCTTGTGCTTATGGAGCGGGAGACAGAACCACTGAGCTAAATCCCCAGCCCTGGCCACTTGTTTTCTATATAGCATTGGGCAAATGACTTTTCCTCTCTGGGCTTAAGATAACAAAAGTTCCTGTCTCGGAGAAATGTTCATCATCCTCAGAGAATTTCTTTAATTTTATTTTACCTAAAAATGGCTATTGAATGTTACCAATTTTTTCATATCTTGTTTACAATATGTTCTTCCCTCTAGGTTAATATAATTCATTTTGTTAGATTTCATAATCCTGACATATTCTTTCATTCTCAGACTTAATTCATGAGTATAATTTATTTTTTTGTTTGCTCATAGGATTCTATTTGGTAATTTGATCAGAATTTTATGTATACTCATAAACAGGGTTATAATTTTTTTAAATTTAAGGTTAACATTGGAAGAGACTTTATTATTCTTAAAGTGCTCACATGTCTGGTCAAAATTGATGTTACTATTAATGAGGCACTGAAGATCATTGTTATGGCTGTGTCTAGGTGTCCCTCAAAGCCTCATGTGGTCATAGGTGGGGCTTTTCAGAGTGGCTGGAGCCAGAGTGTGTGATGCTGGGATCAAGGGTGTATGATTACTAAATTAGCCCACTGATTGGTTTGGCATAGTTTTGGGTAGGATTAAGGGTGCCCCACCGTGGATAACCTAAGGATGGGTAGCCTGGATGGGATATAAGGGACAGAAAGGGTGCTGCTGCTGTTTCTTGTTGCTTGTAGCTTGCAATGCCCCTCTGCCATGCCCCTCTGCCTTGGAACCAGCCAACTATTTTCTGAAATCTCTACAAACTCTGAGCCAAATAAATCCTTTCTCCTGGGTGTCAAGTATTTTGTCTCAGCAATAAGGAAAGTAACTAAGACAATCATGAATGATTTTTTAAAAAAAGTAATAATTAGCCAGGTGTGGTGGTGCCTGCCTATACTCCCAGCACTTGGGAGTCTAAGCAGGAGAATCGCTGCAAGTTCAAGGCCAGCCTGGGCTACATAGTGAGTTCAAGGTCAGCCTGAACTATATAGTGAAACCCTGTCTCAATAAAGAAAGAAAGAAAGAAAGAAAGAAAGAAAGAAAGAAAGAAAGAAAGGAAGGAAGCAAATAAATGGAAGCATTCTGGGTTTTGGCAAGGTTGGTGCTAATCAAATCTTTAGCCTCTTAAAAAGGAGAAGAAATGACCTGTGAGAAATTTGGTTTTTGCCCTTAGTGATCCCCTAGAGGAAAATCATACATATGTTTTTCCACAGTCATTTAAGGATTACAGGATATTAATGATATATGTACATTGCATACCAAATAATTGGGCAATGCAGTATAAATAAGTGTATCTAAAATAGTGTACCAACAGCCGGGCATAATGGTGCATCTCATAATCCCAGCACTTGGGAAGCTGAGGCAGGAGGATTGTTACGAATTCAAGGACAGCCTGGGCTACATGAGTTCAAGGCCAGCCGAACTACATAGTGAGACTCTTTAAAAAAAAAAAGTATAGGGCCGGGGATTTAGCTCAGTGGTTTTGCCGCCTGCTGCACAAGCGCAAGGACGATCCCCGGTACCAAAAAAAAAAAAAATCAAAGTTGTATGTGTGTTTGCAAAGAAGTGACTGAGACTGGAGCTTGTTTATAAAGTGTACTCCTTTAAGTCAGAGTTAGAAACATCTTCATGTACTTCAAACACGTACTAATAAAAATAAACTTAAGAGTTAGAAACATTTTCAAGGGACTGACCTGTAATAACTTAGCTGTGTACTGACTTACAGTTTACAAAGATTTCCTTACACAGGATCTCCCTTAATTGCCACAAAAACTCTAGGAATTAAATAGGGCAGGTATCATGGTCTCATTGTTTACAAATGCATGAACAAGCTTAGCAAATTTAACTATCTTTTTTCTTTTTTTTTTTTGAGACAGGGTCTCACTCTGTAGTTCAGGCTGGCCTTGAACACACTATGTAGTAGCCCAGGCTGGCCTCAGACTCAAAGCAATCCTCTCGCCTCAACCTCCTAAGTGCTGGGATTACAGGCATGAGCCAACAGACCTGGCCAAGAATTCAGATCTTGATAGAGAGTGATTCTATGTTTTCAACTCTTGTAAAAACAGAGCCTGACACAGTTTAGCACATAGTACAAGCTCACTGGATATTTGCTGAAAGTATGAACATGTCTGGTAGGCCTATTTCGGAGTTCTTTCTCTCTCCTGTATCAGCTCATATCATAAGACCAAACTCAACAGCCGAAATCAGTTGAGGAGGAGGCAGTATGGGAGGCTGAGGGTAGGAGAAGGGTTGGAGTTGTTCCCAGGAGAACTTGGAAATGCAGTATAGAGGCAGAACCTTCTGGAAATGTCAGTGTTTATTGAACATTTAAGGACATTTGGAAGTTTGAGAGGAAATGTACAGAATGTAGAAAAATTCCTAAGAATCCCCTGTGGCTGAGAGTGCAGTCTCTTCCTCTCCCCCTTATTTCCCATTTGTATTTCCTGCCTTCTGTTTGATTATTTAAAGACATTTTTTGAGGCTTGTCTGCCCCCTCCTTCACTGTGGACCTGTGAGGATCCCTTGTTTCTCTCTCCCTCTCCTTCCTCAAGGTCTTGAGTCTCGGAACTGCACTCCGAGTGGTCGGGGGACACTCATCTTGCAGCAGAGGGCTGACGGTCAGGGGCCCCTCAGCTTGGGTTGGCTCTCCACGAAGGACTTCATGGGGGTGGGAACTGCAAAAGCCACATGACGTCATTGGTCCTCAGTCATTTGGGTCAGGGCAGAGCATGGGCATAGGTAAATGAAGAATGGATTAAAAATATAAAATAATCAATAACCTAAATAAACCCTGCAGGAGAGTATGTTCTGTGTGTCCTGGGTGTTAGTAGGAACATGGAACGCAGAGCTGGGCCACCTGATGGCGGGAGGAAGGGGCAGGAAGGTCAGGAGCCAGAGGGGTCAGGCTGGGGTGCCGGGGTGGGAAGGCCAGGTGGCCTGGGGTTAACACAGCGGCTGTCAAGGTCCCTTTCTTCTTGGCGCCAGAGGGACAGGCACCAAACACACAGCCCTTGGGGAAGATGAGGGGTAGGTTTAGCCTCCATGCTCCCAGAAAGCCAGGATGTGAAAAGGGGGAGAATACAAGTGCTTGAGAATGAATTTTGGAATGAAACTTACATCTCAAAGGAAATGAGGGCAGGGCAGGGGCTGGGGAGCAAGGGAGGAAGCACCTAGACTAGACGGGAATGAGAGGCGCCTAGGTTCCCCTGCTCTGGCAGGGCCTGGGGGGCGGCGATCACTTGTCTGAGTCCAGGCCCATCATGTTCTTGAGGGCGTTCTTGAGGCTGGTTCTGCTGGGGGACTTGACAGCAGGCCGGAGCTCCGAGCTCTGCTCATCTTTCCGTAGCTCCATCTCGATGACCACCACCTGAGCGCCTTTGGAGGACTCCGCCCCCGGCCCCCGACCCCCCGCCCGGCCCGCTAACCGCTATTTCTTATCCTTGCGAGACTCCCCCAGCCCTTTGGACTTCTTCTCGCTGGCAGCTTTGGTGCTTCTGCTGTGGTCCAGCATGGCATACAGCACTGGCGTCTGGGGAGGAGCGCACACATCAGGCCTCGGCTCGGTGGGCCCTCACTGCGGCCCGCTGGCTCCCCGGGTCCTCCCAAGCTCGCCCCCAACTCCGCTAACCTGCCGCCCACGCCTCGACGAGTCCTTTGAAGTCTTGTGCAACTTCCCCTTCTCCATGGCGCTGCAGGGCAAGGGGGCGACGTGAATTTGGCCTCTCCAGAACCCGCGGCACCTCGGACGCTTCTTCCCGTTTCCTTTGTCCCCCGACCCACTGAAGCAGTCTCCGCCCAGGTGTGTGTGGCGGGACAGGGGACGGAAGGTGGGGAGTCAGGCTCCGCCCCTTACCTGAGCCTCCTCTGCAGGGCCGCCTGCCTGCGCAGCCAGCAGTACCGAACCAGGTAGAAAAGCAGCAGTAGCAACAGCACCACCCCGAGGACGCCCCCGATCACGGCTCCCAGCACCACCCCGTACCTAGTAGGCACTAGCAGGGGCGGGAGAAGTGGGGAGGATGAGCAGGGACCCGGACCTCTGCTTTCTCGCCCCACACCTAGGCCCTGCGTTAGGGACTTAGGAGTCCAAGCCACGGCTGCCTCTGCCCAGCTCCCTCACGCCCCGCCCCAGCCTGTTAACCCTCCCTGAACTGCTGCCCGGGTTCCCTGGCCCCTGCCGCTTCTCACACCTTTTTCAAAGACATAGAGCGTGACCTGAGAGGTCTTGCCCACTATGTCTGGTGGGTTTTTGACATCACAAGTGAAAGTGCCGTTGTCACTGTAGTCTAGGTTGTGTATGACAATGGAGCCATCCTTCCAGCGAGGGTCCCCTACCCACTGGATGCGCTCTTTGAAGGCCCCCACCTCGTCGATGTAGGGCTGTCCTTTGGCATAGTGGAAGATCTGTGAGGAAGGAGGAAAGCGTGTGAGGGGACCCTGGAGAGAACAAAGCTGTCGAAGCAGGGCTCTAGCCTCAGGGTAAGGGTTCCTGGCTTGGAGAGGTGGTGCTGGGGGAGACGGGACAGTACAGATGGGTCCTAGTCAGCTGACAAACATTGCCACTACTGTGCCAAAGTTGGAGTTATGGCTCATGAAGAATTTTCCCCTCCTTAGCTCAAATTCTCTCTCATTCCCCCCCTTCTCTTGTTTGTTTGTTGTTGTTGTTTTTAAATTTTCATGGTAAATTTTTTTTTTTGGCGGGGCTACTGGGGATCGAACTTGGGTTCTTGCGCTTGCGCAGCAGGCAATGAAACCACTGAGCTAAGTCCCCGGCTCTTGTTTGTTTTTTGAGACAGTCTCATTATATAATTCAGGGTAGTCTTGAACTTATTAGGTAGCCTAGACTGGCCTCAAACTCCCGGTGATCCTCCTACTTCACCCTCCCGAGTCCTGGGATTACAGCCATGCACCACCATGCCTGGCTCAAATTCTTTTTTCTGTTATTCTGGGGAGCACTTTTCTGCCAGCCAACCCCAGGATTCCCTCAGGCACTCACCGAAATGGCATCTCGGCCCCCTTCAGGCTGGTAGCGCCAGGTGAAAGAGATGTCGTCTGAGACCCACTCACTGGACCAGAAGGAGCAGTGCAGGGTCACCCGGGATCCCACAGCACCATGGACCTCCCTGTCCGTGTAAACCACAATAGCCCAGGCTGGGGACAGCACTGCAAGTACAGAGTGGAAATCAGGCACACGTGTGGGCCGGGCTGAGCGAGGGCTTCAGAGGACGAGAGATCAACAGCAGGCAAGGATGAGTCACTGGTTGGAGCCCATAGCAAAGACAACTGATTCTGAGGCCTGAGTCTCTGGGCCAACCAAACTGGTGAGTGTAAACGCTGTGTCTGTCCAGCACATGTGCTGGGGAGTGAAGGCAGCAGTAACAGGCCCGCTAGCAGACTTCCAGAGGATGGGTCATCTCCAAGTCTTACCTTCCCTTTAAATCCTCATCTAACTCTTAACTCTTAAGCTATCCCTTAGGTGAAAGGTTTTTAAACTTTTATAAATTATACAGGTAATATAGTTGCATTCTTCTTATAAAGCATTCACACAATACAGATAAAGCTAAAGTCTCCTTTGACACCCCTCAAACAATTCTTTTCCTGTCATTCCCTCCTACATAGAACCAGAGTTACCAGTTTAATATATGTGTTTCCTTTTTATCAGAATCAATATAAACTCAATAAACTCAAGATATATTTGTACTTATAACAAATGGGTAGTTTTGTGGAGCTATATTTTATAAACTCAGGATCTTGCACTTTCGAGGCAGGTGCAGTGCCACTGAGCTACATCCCTGGCCGTGTGGAGCTATATTTTGTTGCCATTTTTTTTTTTCTGGTACAGCGATTGAACTCAGGACCTTGTGCTTTCCAGGTAGGCACGCTGCCACTGGGCTAAATCCCCAGCTCAAAGCTATATTTTAATACATATTGCATTATATTCTTCTTTTAAATTTTTTTTCTTTTGGCTTAAGGACATATATGTCTGGGGGAGATTTTCATGTTGATTCATAGACATCTATCTTATTTTTAATGGTTGTATAGTACTTTACAGTACAGCAAACTTAAATTTCCCGCAGAAAAAAACTGAAGATAACTAGAGAACATATGTCTTCTTCACTTACACAACTGTCCTGACTACTAAATTCCTGATTGCCAGACGGCTTGCTCCTGCAAGGAAAGCCATGGAAAGAAGGACATCATCCCCTTTCAAGGGAGTTTGGGTGTAGAGCAAGACCCCAAGCCTGGAGCGCAGATGACTACTGCAGAGAGCCTCTGTGGTTCAACCGTTCTCACCCTCCTCTTGGCCACTCTGGCCAAGTGCTGCCCCCGAGAGTCACCCACACAAGGAAGGCCATTCCTGGGAGACTGTGTGGGCCGGCCCTGTATGGGGGCAACTGTGGGCCTTTTGTTCTATAGAGGGAGAAGGCACCCAAACAAAATCCCATTGTCTGACCAATGTTGGGGGCTCACGCCAACCCCACCCTCTGTCTCAGCATGTGATATCATTTACTCAGCTCCTGGGACTTCCACCTTATAGCCTTCTTGGGAATCCCCGGTGTGACAAGGAACGTTATCTGCTGGATCTGATTTCTTTCTATTCCTCCTGTTATAATAACAACTATTGTCCTTCTCAGCTTTGCTCAATGTTTCTATGAGCAGGCCAGGTATTGAGACAGAACTCTCTCCTCCTTATACTCCAAGATTTCCACTCCCCATTTACCTCACCATGTCCTAATTCAACTCTTATCCTTAATATTTTCTCAGGGTGCCCAGAATAGTCCAATATGGCCACAAACAGTGTAGGTTCTGGGGTTCTGACTCAAGTTGCTGGGAAGGAGAATTCTGCACTCTCTGACCAGTCTCTCTCCCCTGTCGTTCCTCAACTCCCACTCCTACTTGCCTATTGCTCACCCATTGCACTAAGATTCAGGGCAGCTTGGAAAAGGGAAGGACCTATTTAACTAACCCTGCTCTGACTTTCCCTTGCTCACTGAATGTCTACCAGAGGGCAAGGAAGGAGCTATTCAACTTATGGAACAAGACAGCTTTAAAAGGACAAGATCCTAGGATCTCATAGAACCTCCCTTCACCTCCATTTAGCTACATAATAGATAAGGAACAGAGTCACCAAGAAATAAAAACTCTGAGCAGCTGACCCCACAAACCTTGGGTCCCCTCCTTACATCATACTTCTTGACTTTTCTGGAAAGTTAAGGTTGGATACCTCTTGCATTACTAGGGGCTGGGCAGGGACCAGAACTCCTGTTGGATGCTGCTCCTTCTGTGTTCTAACATCACTTCCTGCTGGCTCTCAGTGGTGCCCTGGGGGCATGATCCTGGCTTTCCACAGTGGTCCACCCATGTCTACTCCCTTCACAGAATACCTTTCCTGCTTCCTGCCACATGACTGCCCCCCCCCCCCATGGAACAATGCCTTCCTGCTCTTGCTCACTGGCTCTTGGCAATGAGGAGTGCAATGAAGCACCTGAGCTTCAGGTTTCCCAGACTGCAGTGGCTCCACTTACCCAAAGAAGAGAAGAGCAGCACAGCCAAGGCAGGGCTGGAATTGGACCAGGGAGCCCCAGGAGCCATAGCTGGGGCAGGGGCCAGGGCCCGGAGCATCTGTGGGGTGGAGAGACTGGGGGACAAGAAACTGAGCGGGAGAATCCTGGAACCCCCTTAAAATCCCCTGGGGCCTCAGCATGAGGGGGTTGTCCTGAGCCAGTAACCAATTGCAGCCTGGCATGTGCAGTTGAGAGGTGGTGGGGAGTGTGCAGAGTGCAGGGAGCAGAAGGGGCATTGTATACTCTGGGTGGAGGGGTGGGGGGACACATACCACCCCTACACAGAGGGCTTTGTGTCTGCTGGCCTCCCCCTGCCCCAGGCTGGAATGCTGGGGGGGGGGGGGTGGTAAGGGAAAGGGACAGAAACAGGGACACAGACACACTTCTCTGAGGACAGATAGGCAGGGAAATCTCAATCCAAAGGCCATGGAAAGGGATTCCTCCCTAGCCTCCTTGCCTAAGAGTGGCTCCCCCAGAGCCCTAGCAGATTTCTGTTACAGAACTCTAAAAATAGGATATGCCCTGTTGTCTTGACTATGATGAGCTGCATTATAGACTTTCTGAGATGACCAGGTCTATTGGGATTTTTTTCCCCCATCTTCCCACATCCTGGGAGATTTTTCCAAGATAAAAGCTTTTCTCCACTGGAAAATTTTCAAAGAAGCCTCAAATCTTTCCCTCTTTGTGAGGAAGTCCTCCAATGCCTCGTGCTACAGTTTTCCATTTCAGTTTAGACCAAGGCAACAAAATTGTATTGTACACCAGTTATATGTCAGGTAGGGGAATGCAGGTAATAGAAGAATAAAAAACAAGTCCTTTCTGAAAGTTCAAAATCTAGTTTGGGGAGGTGGAGGGGAGAGATCAGATGATAAGGCCATCAGCAATCAAATAAAATAAACCGTGATGTTTGCTTTGGTAATAAACAGTTGGGAGTACAACAGAGGGCAGTCTCAAGAAGGTTAAGTTATATGAGAGATCAAGAAAAAATAAATTCCATTTTACAAATCAAGTCCAGGGCCAGGATGTAGCTCAGTGGTAGAGTATTTGCCTAGTATGTGTAGGATGCTGGGCTTAATCCTCAGTACTGCAAAAGGAAACAAAACAAAACAAAACAAACCTCCTCATAAATGAAGTTCAGAGGAAGGGGTAGTCATGTCTAGGAAGCAGTGTTAAATATGGACCAACCTTGAAGGACGTGTGACACTTTGAAAAGGAGGACTGGGTAGAGGGTGATCAGACAGAACAGAAAAAGCAAGAACAAAGAGGTGAAAAAAACATGGTCGAGTGCATGTGGATGCATGCATGTGTTCAGCAGCTTTGTGAGGCACTGGGCAGATTTAGGGCAGATTTAGGGCAGATTTTGTGCCATCCACTTTGACTTGATTGAGGGAACTTGAAGGGGCATAGGAAGAAACAAGTCTCAACAGGATAGCTGAAGCCAGTTTATATAGGGCCTTAAATGACAGATGAAAGAGAGTGGATTTAATTTGGTACATTATAAACATCTTCTGAAGATTTTGGGATGGAGTTAGGAATGTCTCCAGGACCAGAACTGATTTTGTTTGTTTCCTTTCAGACAGGGTCTCTATGTAGACCAGGAGCTTGGGCAAGTGCTCTATTACTGAGCTACATTCCCAGATCTTTCAAATGTGTTTATTTTGACACACTGTCTAAGTTGTCCAAATTGGCCTGGAATTTGCAATCCTCCTGTAGCCTCCCATGTAGCTGGGATTACCCAGTCTTATATTTCTTTCTCTTGGACAATATCTATGTCTGCATCTTTGAATCTCTTATAGCACTTTTCACAGACTCTGGCAAAAGTCAGCAATACAGATATGGTAAATAAAATTATGCAGAGTTTCCAGGAGTGGTGGCACATACCCATAATCCCAGCAATCAGGAGACGGAGGCAGGAGGACTGCTGTGAATTCAAGGTCGGCCTGGGCTACATAGTGAGTTTCAGGTCAGCCTGAACAACATAGCTAGATCCTGTTTGAAAAATAAAATAAAATAAAATAAAATAAAATAGACGAAGAGAAAGAGATTAACATTTGTTAATGGGAAGCGCCAGAGGGCCAAAGGATGTTCAAGGACCAGAAGTTCCATAGCAGAAAATTGTATTAAAACAACTTTCTAATGATTAAGCTGCTTAAAAGTTGTTGTTGTTTTAGGTATCCATCATAAAACGTGTTGGAGCAGTCTTGAAGATCTGAGGAACACCTCAGAGGAGATTCGTGCATTGAAAAACAGGTTAAATTAACGAGCCTCAAAGATCCTTTCCAATCCTAAAGTCTACGAGTGTGCCTTCTTTGTCAAGCATTATAGAAATTCAAAATAGTTTTATTCACTTGATGCAAAAAGAAGTGAATTTGTGTAATTTAAATCCTGGAAGGAAAGATGGAGTGCTAAATATAAACGAGCTCTAAATATTAATATAACTGGGCATGTTTTATTGTTGAATAGGCGTCACTCTGGGCTGTCCTCTTTACTCCTCCCCACACATCCCACTCCCCAAAGGGTCAAGAACTTCTGTATTCTGTTTTATTCCTTTTTCACTTGCCCTTTTTCTCCAATTGCAAGTGCTCTGCGATTGATTTCTCTGCTTGTGTTCCTCAAAACTGTTTATAAAGTTAACTGTTAAATCAAAGCGGGTTCTTCCCCACACTACAGGTTCTTCTGGTTGTGGGTGTCACCCACGTAGCGCTGAAACACAGAAGAGAGCATTGTCTTTGGCTGGGGGCTGGTGGGCGTCTAGCTCACATTGCAGCTCAAGTCTAGGAATGGTGGGCCCTAACCTTGGTGGTTAGAGGCGGCTCCTTGTCCTTGGGAACGGTAGTCGCTGCCCTGCCTCACACTCTTAAATTGGATCTCAATTTGAGTTATCTCATTCTGGCTAAAGCTTCACAGTAGAAAGGAAGGGAGCTCACATTATCTTTTTCCCTGAATATCTCAGCCAGCCAAACGGACGTTTTTAGGCCGACCTGGGAGAGGGAGTGAAACTGAGACTGAGGAGCCGTCAGTGAACAATCTGGGGAAAGGCGCTGTTTGGTCGAGCAATACAAAATGAATGTGTACGCGGGTAAAACGCATACTGCAGAGTTCAAGCTAGTGGCGTTTCTGCAGAACTGGCAAACACTGGCAATCTGCGGAGGCAAGCAATACAGAAAAAAAAAAAACTCCAAGGAAATCATTAACAGAAAACGGGAACCAGAGCGGAACCTGCGCCTAGCCTTTTAAAGAGCTCAGCGAGGTCACGTGACCGACCGGCCTCCGCAGCCCTCAGAACGCGGCGCAGCTACGTCACTTCCGTCCAGGCCGGAATCCAAGATGGCGGCGCTCTTGTTGAGGTGACTTTATCTTGGGGCTGGGAGTCCGTACCCGCGACACTGGGAGACTTAAGCTACTCCCTCTGGTCTTGCCGATAGCGTTTTATCCTGTGCTCCGGCAAGGAAAGGACCCGTGGGTGTGCAGGCCACGCGCTCTGGAATCCTAGGAGCCCCTCCCCTCCCCCCGCAAGCCGCTGCCGTGCAACTCCGTAGGGCTTCGAGGTGTCACATATTCCATACCCAGGAGTGGGGTGGCTGTCACTTTTTCTGCTTCACCCACTTCCGATCCTTTTATCCCAAATTACTCATGTGGTCGCACCCGAAGCCGAGCCCTGTAAAAATTGTTTGAACCTCGAGGTTAGCTGACCCATGGGTCCTACAATTTGGAGGTCATATTTAGGGTATGGGCCAGAGTGTGTATGTGTGTGTGTGGGGGAGTACCTTGGTGTGCTTTGGCTTTGCTGCTTACTACTGCAAACACTAGCTGCTGCTGGCAATGAGTGGGCCCTGTCCAGGTCCCTATCCGGCCACTGGCAGAGGGTGAAAGAAATCTGAATTCCTGCCATTTCAGCTGTTAGCAGTAGCTCTCGGTTGGTCCTCTGCTGCACCCCAGTTAATTCATTTTTATCTTTTTACCTGAGAATAGAGAGCCATGGAATAGATATCCCGGCTTTTCTCTAAAAGGTCAATTCACTGTCCAGAGAAATAGTCTAGATTTCGTTCTTTTCTGAGCACTGTCTACGTTTCATTCTCTACTCAGCCTTTCTAGTCCTCGAGATTAGCGCCTTTCTACACTCCTGGTACACATCCCAGCATAGTTTTGTGCCAGCCCTATTTTTGGAAACTGTTTGTTATGGAAAGTTAAGCTCAGTGCTGTTGAGATTTCAATCCCCGATTTCTCTAAATGTCTTCTCATTTGTCTTCCCAGTTTAGTCACACAGTATAAAAATAGAGGGACTTTGTTTAGTTTTTCCCTGTGAAAAAATGATTCCTCTTGGAGTTGAAGTCAATTATCATAATCCTTCATTTTCTCCTCCCCCTTCATCTTTATATAAAGATACATATGTATCTTTTCTCTGCGATTTACTAAGGCCATTGTTGCCACACCTGCCTCCTGGAATCCCAGATGATTTTATCATAATTGAATGCCTTTCACTTCTTTGACTTATATTTAATAGATATTAGGGCTTTAGGAGGAACTAACATTTAGCTTGAAATACGGGTTCCAAGTGTTCTTTTTCCTTTTTTTTTTTTTTTTTTTTTTTTTTTGTGGTGCTGGGGATTGAACATAGGGTTTTTGCACTAGGCTGCATCCCAACCCTTTTTCATTTTTTTCCCTTTTTGAGTCTAGGCCTCACTAAGTGGCAAATTTACTTGTGCTGGGCTCAAACTTGTGATCCTCTTGCTTTAGCCTCCCAGTGCTGCTCTTACAGGTGTGTGCCACCATGGTTGGCTAAATAGTTTGATTTGAGTGTCAGGATTAGTGTTTAGAAGATAAGGATTATTATATAGTTTCCCCTCTTATCCATGGGTTTCTCATGCACAGGTTCACAACCTCAGATGGAAATACTTGAAAAACAAATTCCAAAAGTTCCAAAAAGCAAAACTTGAATTTACCACCAGCTAAGCATTACACTGAGGCCAGGTGAATAAAGGGATATGTAGGCATACCCTGATGTAGCCTCCCACCATTTCACAGATCCTTTGTCTCCAGCACATATTACTGGAGAATTGTTTGCTTCACTTCATTTGTGTACCGTGTAGTTAGACCTATAATTGGTTGTATCTGCACTGTACACATATAGACTTCTTCCCTTTGTCATTATTTGAATAATGTGGTATAACAATTATTTATAAGCATTTACATTGTATTGAGTGTTATAAACTACCAATAATTAAAGTATATGTGTGATATCAAAAAATACAGTGTATGTTTAAATTTATTACACATTACCATTAATCCCTCTCAAAATACTTCCCCTCACTTTAAACACACTTATCTCATTTTTTTTCTTTTGCCACTTTCTGAACTAGTTCCAGAAGTCTTTTGTAGTTTTAGTTGGAGTGTCAGGGCTGCCTTGATGACCTGACTTGATTAAAAACATTTACCTTTTATGGTCATTCTGACTTTGGGGAAGAGCCAGAAGTCTCACGATAGATAGGGGTACACAGTAATATTTTTATGAATGTTGCTTTCCATCAGATGGCACTCAGGAGCAGCATTCACTATATTTTTGATAATACGTCGTAGAGACACAAAGAGGACTTCCAGAACTGCTTTAGAAAGTGGCAATAGCTGGGGATTTAGCTCAGTGGTTCCACCACCTGCCTGGCAAGCGCAAGGTCCCGAGTTCGATCCCCAATACCAAAAAAAAAATGGCAAGAACAGTGGGATAAGTGTGTTTGAAGTGAAGGGGAATACTTTGAAGGGGATTAATGGTAATATGTCTCTTACAGTAACAAATTTTAAAATTTACATTTTAAAAATCAGCCTTTATATGCAAACACTACTCCATTTTATAGAAGGGACTTAAGCATCCATGGATTTTGGTATTTGCTGGGGGTGGGGACTAATCCCTTGTGGCCACAGCTAGTAAGTGTATCCAGATATTATCATCTTGAGTTTTGTAGCATTGTCTACACCAGGATTCAGTGCCAAGGAAAGACTTCTTTTCTTTTAATGGTAATCTAAAGTTCTCATGGGAAGTGCCTCTGTTTCTCATAAGGGCTTTTTTAGAAATACCTTCTAAGAACTGTAGTTTTAGTAATTCACTAATTCATTTAGTGAAATGACAAGTCACAGTCATTGATTCTATGAATGTGGTTTATTTATGGGTTGAAAATGATAACTAGGCCCACTTAACAGAAATATTGAGCTTTTGTAATAAGTGTATTTAATTTTAATTGACAAAAATAGTATATTATTTACTGTGTACAATATAATGTCTCAAAATATGTATACATTGTGTTAAATGTAACTAATCAACCTGTGTGTTACTCCCATACTTATTTTTTTGGTGTGGTGAGAACACTTGAAATCTACTCTCCAGTTTTTAAGTATGTAACATTGTTTCACTGTCATGAAACATTGCACAATGTATATACACTGAAATGTTACATAGTAATCCATTAATATGTACAGTTTTTATGATTTATATATTCATTAAAAAATAAAAATCACCATGTTGTAGAATAGAACTCTTGAACTAATGCCTCCTGACTGAAATGAATCCTGTGACTAAAATCTCCTTAAACTACCCTCCCAGTTAGACACTTCTAATGATTTGCTAATTAAAAACTATTAGTTACTAGGGTATTGTGTATCATGGCTTTTGATTCTGTTTTTTTTTTTTTTTCCAACACCAGGGATTGAACTCAGGACCTTGCACTTTCGAGGCAGGCATGGCGCCTCTGAGCTAAATCGCTGGCCCCCCTTTTTTTTGATACGGGGATCAAACCCAGATTGAACTCGGGACCTTGTGCTTGCAAGGCAGGTGGCGGAACCACTGAGCTAAATCCCTAGCCCTATCACTGGCCCCTTTTTTTTTGAGACGAGGTCTTGCTATGTAGTTCAGCCTGGCCTTGAACTTAGTATGTAGCCCAGGCTGGCCTCCAACTCAGGGCAATCCTCCTACCTCAGCCTCCTGAGTGCTGAGATTACAGGCATGTGCCATCATACCTGGCTTGAATAGTGCTCTGTATTTTGTATGTCCCTGAAACAGCTCAGGGACCAGCCAGGGATGAACAGCAGCCAACTTACACAAACTCCCTTGGTGCTCCATCAAGTGGTGACTTGCCAAAGTCAAGAAGGCGTAGATAACTAAGTGAGGGACAGCTGGGCTTCTATCTAATAATGAATGTGCTGTTTAAGCCCAAAGTCACCAACAGTCAACTATCTTATAATAATATAAAGTATTATTATATTAAATATATGAAACACCTCTAAAAAGTGAGGTTTAACTGTCAGGGAGGTTGCTTTTTTTTTTTTGGTACCAGAGATCGAACTCAGGTCCTTGTGTTTGCGAGGCAAGTGGCGGAACCACTGAGCTAATTCCCGGGCCCTAGATTGCTTTTTAAAATAAACTCAAAGGTAGATCCTTACTCAACATGCATGAGGCTTTGGGTTTGATTCCCCAGCACCAAAACAAAGCAAAAATCCATACTCACTGGGCTTAGTGGCACACACCTGTAATCCCAGCATTCAGGAGGTTGAGGCAGGAGGATCATTGAGAGTTCAAGGCTGGCTTGACCAATATAGTGAGACCCTGTCTCAAAAAAACAAAACAAGGGCTGGGATTTAGCTCAGTGGTTTCGCCGCCTGCTGCGCAAGCACAAGGACCCGAGTTCAATCCCCGGTACCAAAAAAACCCAAAACAAAACAGCCTGTACTCATTCATGATCATTTTTGAGCCTCTTCTGGGTGTCACACATTATTATAGGCATTATAAACGGAGTGTTCTAGCCCTGTCTTTGAGGAGCTCAAAGTCTAGCAGGACAGATAACTAGATGAATTATTAAACAATGTACTATTGTAGAGATATGAACAAGTGGTGGGGAAGCATGGCAGACACAGTAATACTGAGAAAAATGGTGATTTTGCTATCAGGATTTGGGTTTTGAAGGATGAGCATTTCAGCCTGAGAGAGTTTCCATCAGAACAATAAGCAAAGGCATGCAAATTCATGCCCTTCTTTCTGTATACAAATGATTCCTCTTCAGCATGTCAGTCAAGGTTATATATCCCTTTTATTCTGGCTGCTACTCAGACATTTCTGAAACTTGGGATGCTGTAGTCAAGTTTAGAGGTCATAGAAAGTCATTTATAGCAGCATCTTGTTTTGGACTAAAAAATAGTGTTCAATTTGGTCTCATAGACTTGGCTTTGGATAACTTTTCTCATAAGTCAAATCCATTTTCAGCAAATGAATATTTTTGTCATCACTGAGGATTTTAAGAAGAATGTGATGTGAATTCTAAAAACCTTTGGGAGACCAATGAAATAATATATGAAATGTGTTCTTGTGCATTTTCTCCCTCTGCTGATTAAGGTATATCTTATCAGTCTCATTTTATAAATGGAAAAGTTGAAGTTCAGTGGCTCCCTGAAGTTATACAACTCATGCAGATCTAAGATTTCACTCTGGCATTTTTACTTTCCAGTGTTCTTTCCTAGTACTGTTTCTGCCCTAGTCCAGAGAAGTTTCAAAAATGATTTGATCAGTTAAATGGGGAGACATTTATAATACATTTCGAAAGACACAATGCTAAAATTAACAAGAAAAAAAATGAAAGAGACAGTGCTAACTGGAAATTATAGGTTCTGACTTTAAAAAAAGAAATGGAGATGGGAGAGAGGATAGGGAAAAAATAATCTTACTCTAAATACAAAAAGCAAAAAGAAAAAACAAAAGATTGGATGCTGTGACACACACCTGTAATCCGAGAACTCAGGAGGCTGAGGTGGGAGGATTGTGAGAGTTTGAGGCCAGCTTGGGGTATACAAAGATTGAAGGCCACCCTGTTTGTACTACACAGTGAGACTGTTCTCAAAGTATAAAATATTATTACCTTCTAGCTATAACATTTTAAGTACTATTCCTTGGTGAAAAAATAAAATCTCAGAGTTCCTGGTTTCATATGAAAGAAAAGGATAGTTCCTTTTGTCATATATCAAATGAGGTTACAGAATTTGTGCAACTCATTTCTGTAAGGGGCTGTGGAAAGCTTACATTGGTATTTGTTTGTAAAACAATAGCACTAGACAGAACTTGCCATAGATTCCAACCCACATCTACAAACTCTTGCTGGGTAGCTGAGTAACTGGGCCTAGGCTGGTGTGAGGAATGCATCCTCTGCAACTTCAGAGACAATTCAGTTGATTTAAAGAGATTTGTTCCCACTTCTTTCTGGGAGTCTTGGGTATACAATGTCTGTATTCACCTCTTGCCTCCAAAGCTAGGAAGAGGGAAGAACTGGATTCTAATGGCAGTGTTGGTTGGATTTTTTTCTTTCAAATAGTGGAGCATTTTAGTGTACTACTGTAAGGCATAAGACTCTTGAAAGGTTTGTATATCTAGTATCAGTGGTGTGAGGGGGATCATGAGCTCACTAGTTTATTTATTTATTTTGGCTCTTTGAGACAGAGTCTTGATGTGTAGTTCAAGCTGGCCTAGAACTCAAAGCGATCCTCCTGCCTCTGCCTTCCAAGTACTAGTATTACAGGTGTGTACCACATCCAGCTCATGAGCTCTTTTAGAAGATAGTTGGAGTTACATGAGACTTATATTTCTATAGAACTTTACTGATATGTACTGGATGTACAATAAACTTTTCTAGAATCCAATTTTTAATTTTAATTTTTAGACCATCATTGATTTTAGAAAGATTTGATGTGATGACTTGACTATAAAGAGTATAATGGTTTTGTGTTTTTCCTAATACTATATAAACTTTGGATCAGTTAGTTGGATTGTCCTTAATAAAATGCCTGGTCACGTGTTTCTTTTTGACTTGAAAAGCAGTTCTGCTTGGGAGGCTGAGGCAGGAGAATTGCTATGAGTTCAAGGCCAGCCTGGACTACATAGTGAGTTCAGGGCTAGCCTGACCTTATGAGACAGTGAGACCTTGTCTCAAAAAAACCGAAAAAGAAGCCGGGTATTTAGCTCAGTGGTTTTGCTGCCTGCTGCGCAAGTGCAAGGACCCGAGTTTGATCCCTGGTACCAAAAACCCACAAAAAACCCCAAAAAATTAAAAAAGAAAGAAAAAGAAAAGCAGTTCTGGCACTATGCATACATGTCAAAAACAGCAACTTTTAAGTAGAAAATTTACATACCCTCTTTACATACCTTGTCATGGGAATATCAAAAAATTCTTTGCATTCTCATATTTTTGTTCTATTATATGAGACTCTTTTTTTTGGTACCGGAGATTGAACTTGGGACCTTGTGCTTGTGAGGCAGGCACCAGAACCACTGAGCTAAATCCCTGGCCCAAGAGAGACTTTTTGACTTGAAGTTCATCCAGGTTGGTGGTTCCTGAAATGACCTGACTTAGTATTAAGATCTTCCTTCCACAGAGCCCTTGTTCTTTATATTTTAATTTATTTACAAGAAGTCTCTGGTGTAACTGAACTATATGCTTGCTGTTGTCAGTGGTTTACTCTAATTTTTGTTTGTTTGGGGTTTTTTGTTTTTGTTTTGGCATTATTGGAAATAAACCCAAGGCCTCATGCATGCTAGCAAGCACTTTATACTGAGCTACAGTCGGTCCTTATTTTAAATCTATTCCTGTGCACCTAAGTCCAATATACTGCAAAAATAGAGAAGTTGATATATTGAAGTTGTCTCTAAGTGTGTATTAATTCTGGCCTCTTATCTTACAGACATGCTGGGCGCCATTGCCTCCGATCCCACCTTAGTCCTCAGCTCTGTATCAGAAAGTAAGTTTTTAAGTCTATGGATATTATTATTATTATTATTATTATTATTATTTAACTTGTTTTTTCCCTGAGGGAAAAGCAATAGGTTGTTCATTTAGATTTGTAAGAAATAGGATATGTAAGAAATGGATATAGGCAGTTGTAGACAGTTGTCTGAAAATTTAATAATCATTTTCACTAAGTTTTCTGATTTCTTTTCTCTTTCTCTTTCTGGTGCTGGGCATTGAACCCATGGCCTCACACTTGCCAGGCAAGTACTCTCCCACTGAGCTACATCCTAACTCCCACTATTTTTCTGTCTGGAAGTAGAGGAAGTAAGGATATTTATTTGGTCTTTTAAAAATTTTCCTTTTTCAGCTTTTTTTTGTTTTTTCTGTTACTCTACAAATTTGCTCTGGCTTCTTGATTCTTACCTTTATATCTAATTCTCTTCTATTTTTTTCTCCTTAATGCTTTTTTTTTTCTTATACTCTCTAATTTTAGACAGTTTCAGGACTTAGGTAGGTGGCAGCACTACCGAGCTAAATCCCTGGCCCAGGACTTAGGTTTTAAATATATTTCTTCCTGCTTAATATTCATTCCTAGTCTGTTGACCTTAACAATTGTCTTTGAGTTTTTTTCTTTAACTTTATTTTGGAAATATTTTATACTTTCAGAAAAGTTGTAGGAATAGTATGATGAAATTCTATATACCCTTTCCCCAGATTCATTAATTATTAACATTTTGCTCTGTGTGCTTATCACGGTATTAGTTGTACCATACAAAATTGTGTGGGTTTTTTCTTTTCTTTTTTTTTTTTGGTGCCAGGGATCGAACTCAGGACCTTGTGCTGACGAGGCAGGCATAGCACCACTGAGCTAAATCTCTGGCTCCCCAAAATTGTTTTTGTAGGTCAAATATGGTTGAATATTTGTGGCTTACCCTAATATATACTTGTTATTATTATTACTGAATTCTTTGAGAATAGGTTGTGAACATTGTGATCCTTTACCTCTAAATCTCCTAATAAATGAATCATATAATAATTATCAAGTTTAGAAATTTAACATTGACAAACACTTATATGATATATAGTTGATTTTCAGAATTTCTTTGTCCCAGATAATACATTTTATAGAAATACAATCTCCGGGGCCAGGGATTTAGCTCAGTGGTTCTGTTGCCTACTCTGCAAGCGCAAGGTACCAAGTTCAATCCCCGGTACCAAAAAAAAAAAAAGAAATACAATCTCCTTTTCCTCCATCCAGAATCTAATTAGGCTCACAAATATACTTACCTGTCATATTTCTGTAATTACTGTTTGTTTGTATGTTTGTTTTGTTGTGCTATTGAGGATTGAACCAAGACCTTCACACTGAGCTGAGCTATATTCCCCAGCCCTCTTTAAAACTTTTTTTTTTGTTTTTGGTACCAGGGAATGAACGGGTCCTTGCGCTTGCGCAGCAGGCGGCGAAACTACTGAGCTAAATCCCTGGCCCTTAAAACTTTTTTTTTTTTTAAGACAGAGTCTTACTAAGTTGCCCAGGCTGGGCTTGAACTTGTGCTCCTCTTGCCTCAGCCCCCCGGAATGCTGTGATTACAGATGTGTGTTACCATGCCTGGCTCTACTTTTTTTTTGGTACTGGGGATCGAACTCCGGTTCTTCCGCTTGCGCAGCAGGTGGCAAAACCACTGAGCTAAAGGGCCCTTGGCCCTACTTTTTAATCTGGAACTGTGTGTTAGCCTATCTTTGTCTTTTAGGCCACTGATATTTTGACTAATATAAGCCAATTGTTTTGTAGTGTTTCCCAAGTTGAGTTTGTGTGATTGTTTTCTAATGATTAGAAGTGTTATCACAGTACATCATATCAGGGGCAAAATGATACTCTGTCTCATTATTAATTTGTTTTGTTTTGTTTTACTTTTTTGTACTGGGGATCGAACTCAGGACCTTTTGCTTGCAAGGCAGGTGCAGCACCACAGAGCTAAATTCCAGGCCCTTAGTTTTATTTTTTTGAGACAGGGTCTCACTGTGTAATTCAGGCTGCCCTTGAACTCTCTGTGTAGCCCAGGCAGTCCTGCCTCAGCCTCCTGAGTGCTGGGATTACAGATGTATGTCACTATGACTGGGAATTTATTATTTTTAACTTTGATCATTTGAATAAGGAAATGTCTGTTAGGTTTTTTCCTACCATAAAATTATTGCGTCTTCCTTTTGTACTTATTTATTTACTGGTGCTGGCCATTGATCTCAGGGCTTCATACATACTAAGTATGTACTCAGCCACTGAGCTGCCTTACCCTGGAGATATTTTCTTGAGGGGAATCAAATCATGTTTTAGTGGAGTTTATTTTGGTTGTGTTTTTCTTTTTTCTTTTTAAACATTCTGGGGACTGAACCCAGGGCCTTGTGCATGCTAGGCAAGAGCTATACCACTGACCTACACTCCTAGCCCTGGAATAATTAATACAACGCAAAATAAATTGTTGAGCATTACTCTTTTTTTGTTTGTTTGTTTGTTTCTTTGGTGTTGTTTTTGGTACCAGAGATTGAACTGGACCTTGTGTTTGTAAGGCAGGCAAGGGAACCACTGAGCTAAATCCCCAGCCCTGTTGAACATAACTGTTTAATGGCTGGTTTCAATTTAGCCCACTGACTAGAGAAACCAAGAGCTGGGTGTGGTGGCACACGCCTATAACCCCAGCACTTGGAAGGTTGACGCAGGAGGATCACTGTGAGTTTGGTGCCAGCCTGGGCTACATATTAAGTTCAAGACTAGCTTGAACTATGTAATGAGACTCTGTCTCAAAAAGCCAAAAGAAAAGAAAAACAGAAACCAAGAAGCTCTTCAGAGGTATTGAACTGAATGCAGATCTTGATTTTTAAGAACATTCTGTCCTTAGAAAGACATAAGACTACAGATGGTAAAATAGGAGATAGTACCTGAGACCTGTGTTTGTTCAAATGGAGTAGAAATTTTACACTTGGCCTACAGAAGTTGAGCTTTCATTGTTAGACTTGTGTATTAGTAGGAATTAGAAAGAAGAGTTATCCTCTGATATAATTTCATTGGGCACTTGAGGGTTTCCCCCCTAAATTATTTTACTTAGCTATTTATTTGCAGTGCTGGGAATCAAACCCAAGGTTTCGTGCATGCTAGGCAAGCACTGTATTACTGAGCCACCCCTGTTGGCACCAGTTGAGGTGTTTGTTTGTTTTTATTGTTGTTTTTTGTTTTTTAAAACAGGGTCTCACCATGTAGTTCAGGCTGGCATTGATCTCACTAAGTATTCCAGGCTGGCCTCGAACTCAGTGATCTTCCTGCCCCAGCATCCCAAATCCTGGGATTACAGGCGTGCACTGCCATGCCCAGCCATAGTCAAGGTTATTAATTGAATCAACTCAGCATAAAGATAAGGGAGTTGGAGGAATGTGTTTGAGTATGTTTTCCTAAGTTGGGAGGTTTGTCTAGCTCACCTTGCCTTTAAAAAAAACTTTTTGGGGCTGGGGATTTGGCTCAGTGGTTCCACTGTCTGCCTCACAAGCGCAAGGACCCGAGTTCGATCCCTGGTAAAACCCCCCTAAATAAATAAATAAGTAAATAAATAAACTTTGTTGTATAAAATATTAAATCAAGCTTACTTTTAATTCTTTTAAAACCTGGTTTTATTTTAGTGCTGTGCCTTTGGGAACCACAGCCAAAGAAGAGATGGAGCGGTTCTGGAATAAGAACACAGGTTCAAACCGTCCTGTATCTCCTCATATCACTGTCTACAGGTAAGAGCTTGAATCAGAGAAGCTAGGGATAGTAGGCTAAAATTCTGGAGGTTGGTCCTCAGCCTCCCTGATACATATTTCCCTCAACTGGTAAGAAATACTTACTCATCTGGAGTACAGCTGTATAATGAGTTGACCCCTTCAGAGTGGAGGAAGAGAACGTAAGGTTATCTCAGGCCTTTTTTATATGGTAATGACTAAATTCTGTCCTCTAGCCTTAATCTATTTTGCAAAATTATAATTTAAGAAATTTTGATAAGTCAAATGTAATTCCATTAATTAAAAGTTGTTGAAACAGTATCAGATTTACATTAAAGTTGCAAGGGGGCCAGGGATTTAGCTCAGTGGTTCTGCCACCTGCCACACAAGCACAAGGTCCCGAGTTCGGTCCCCGGTACCAAAAAAAAAAAATTGGGGGAAAAAAAGTCACAGAAATAATAGAATTCCCATCTATCTTTATGTAGTTTGCCAGCTTGTTAACATATCTGAATTATTTAAGAACAAATTGTAGCCAGAAATGTAGCTCAGCAGCACAGCACCTGCCTGGCAAGCTAAAGGCCCTGAGTTTGATTCCTGGTACCAAAAAAAAAAAAAGAACAAATTATAGAAACAATGCCTCATTATTCCCATATAGTTTTCTATTGAGAAAGGGTTTCGCCATAAATTTTTAGAAACTTAATGGCTTAAAAGAACACAAATGTATAGCCTTAAAGGCCTGAAGGTTCGAAGTGTGATACAGATCTATGAATTGAGGTATTGTCAGGGTTTGTATTCTTTTCTATTGGCCCTAGGGAAGATTCAGTTTCCTTGCTATTTGTAGCTTCTAGAAGCCTCCCACATTCTTTCACTATGTCCTTCTTCCATCTGTTTTGTTGTTATGTTGCCCAGGCTGGCCTTGAACTCGGCTTCCTGAATACCTGGGATTACAGAGATGTATCACCATACCTGGCTCCTTCTGTCTTCAAAGCAGACAACAACAGAGTTTTCACTTTGTAACAGAGCAGAGTCCTAACCTTCTGCCTCTCTTACTTTTAAGGAAAATACATTGTGGCCCACCCAGATAATACAGGACAATCAATCAATATCAGGGTCCTGAATTTCATCACATCACTAAAACCCCTTTTTGGTGTAAGATAATATATTCATAGGTTCTGAGAATTAAAACATTGATACCTTTGTGGAGGTGGGGCGGTGCCCACCACAGTCCACTCTTTGGCCCCTAAAGATTATGTTTGCCCCATGTGCAAAATACATTCACCACCATCCCAATGATCCCAAAAGTTCTAACCCATCAGAGCATCTACTCAAAGTTTTAAAATTTCACTTAAACCTCACCATCTAAATCAGATATGGGTGAGGCTCTGGGTATAATTGCTGCTGAGACACATTTTTTCTTCATCTATGAAATTTAAGAAATAAGTCACTTCCGGATATGGTGTCACATGCCTGTAATGCCAGCACACTGGGATGCTGAGGCAGGAGGATGGCAAGTTCAAGGGTAACTTACTAAGACCCTGTTTCAAAAAAAAAGACTAGGAATGTAGCTCAGTGCAAAGGCCCTAGGTTCAATCTATAGCACCAGGGGAAAGAAAATTAAAAAGAAGAAATAAGTTACCTGGGTTGGGACCGTAACTCAGTGGTAGAGCATGTGCCCAGTGTGTATAAAGTTACAGCACTGTAAAAAGAAAGAAAATTGCGTCTGTACTGAACACATACATTTTTTCTTGTCATTATTCCTTAAACAATACTGTACAATGACCATTTACATAATGTTTACCTGTGTTAGGTATTATAAGTAATCTAGAGGTGATTTCAGCTATGCAGGAGGATGCGTGTAGGTTATATGCGAATACCATGCCATTTTGTATAAGGAGGTTGAACGTCCATGGATTTTGATATCCCAGGGAGGTGATGAGCGTTCTGGAACCAGTCTCTCATAGATACCAAGGGGTGACTATACTGTTAATGTCGTGGCTTAAAAACAACACAAATTTGTGCTGGGATTTAGCTCAGTGGTAGAGTACTTGCCTAGCATATGTAAGGCCCTGTGGGGTTCAATCCCCAGCACAGAACAAAACCAAAACCACCAATTGTACAAATTTATTTTCTTATAGTTCTGTGGGTTAGAACTCTAGTCTCATACGTCTCCTTGGGCTAAAATCAAGATGTTGGCAAGGTTCTGTTCTGTTCTGGAGGCTACAGAGAAAATCCATTCCCCTGCCTTTCCCAGCTTATAAAAGCTGGCTCAAATTGTGGTCTCCTTCCATCTTTAGAGCCTGTAGTGGTAGATCATCTTATCCAATCTTATTGTGCTGACCCTGCTCTATTACTACATTTCTTCTTTCTGCCTTCTGCCAGCCTCTTCTACTTTTAAAGAGCTTTGTGATTACACTGGAACCATCTAGATAATCAGGATAGTCATGGATTTCTTTAGTGGGGTCATTATTCTGCTTATGAAAACTTGGCTCTGTGTTTCCTCGTGTGTGTGTGTGTTGTGTGTGCGTGCATAGATGTGCGTGCATGTATGTATGTATGTGTGTTTTACTGAGGATTGAACTCACAGCCTTTGCACTGAACTATATCTCTAGCCCTTTTTTTTTTATTTTGAGATAGGATCTTCTAAGTCGCTAAGTTGCCCAGGCTGGACTCAAACTTACAGTCCTTTTGCCTCTGCCTCCCAGAAAGCTGGGATTACAGGCATGCACCACCATGCCCAGCTTGTTTTTCCTCAATTTAAAAATGTTCTCCATAGTACAACCATCACAATCAGAAATTAACATTCACCAATGCTACCATCTAAACTTTAGGTTCCATGCAACTTTTTTCAGTTGCCTAGTAATGTCCATTGTAGGTCTAAGATCAAATCCAGAATTTTGTATTGCATTTAGTTGTCACATCTCTTTAATCTTCTTCAGTATGGAACAGTGTTTTAGTCTTTCCTTATCTTTTATGACCTTGGTATTTTTAGAATGTTTCTCAGTTTGAGTTTGTCTGGTGTTTTCTTATGATTTATGCATTTTGGGCAGCAGTAGCCCTAAAGTGATGCTGTATTCTTCTCAATGCATTGTATCAGGAGCTACATGATGATTTCATCCATTACTAGTGATGTGAACTTTTATTACTGGTTAAGATTTGCCTATTGCCGGGGATTTAGCTCAGTGGTTTCGCCTCCTGCTGCACAAGCACAAGGGCCCAAGTTCAATTCCCAGTACCAAAAAAAAAAAAAAAGATTTGCCTACTGGATTTCTCCACTGTAAATGTATTTATCAGTTAATACATATTTTGTAGGAAGCTACTTTGGGTCGCTAAATATTGTTTTTCATCATTTACCCACCAGTATTTGTTGTTGATACTTGATTAAATCAGTGACTACTCTGATGATTGCCAAATTGTGATTTTTCTAATTGCATCTCTTTCCTAGATCTATTTATTTCTGTAGGGTAAAATGATTTATTTGTTACTTTGGACTGAAAGATTCATATGTAACAGAGAGTAACAGTCTGTTACTCTCATTATTTTGATGTTCAGAGTGTCCTAGATTTGGTCAGTAGTTCTTCAAGACAACCCCTGTGAAATCAGTATCTAGGTGCTAGATTCATTGCTTCTGGGCCCCTCAGTGGACATAGCTGAGATGTATAAAGGGTGATTGAAAAATTGAATTGAATGTTTATATTTTTTTAAAAAATCATTACAGGCCTGGGGATTTAGCTCAGTGGTGCCACTGCCTGCCTCACAAGTGCAAGGTCCCAAATTCGATCCCCAGTATCAAAAAAAAAAAAATTTTTACAGTAAGAGACATTGCCAAGAATGATGGATAAGTATGTGTGAAGCGATGGGGAGTATTTTGGGGGGGTTAATGGCAATGTGTTTTTTATTATAATAAACTTTTCATTTTAAACATTCATCATAGTTTTTGAACACCCCTCATTAGCAGTTTCTCCCATGTAAAAACATCACAGTGTGTCCTCATCTAGCACTGCATTTGGCACTGTGTGATTTCTGTCTCTCCCCTAAAGTCAAAATGACTGTGAAAGGGCCGAGGACTTAGCTCAGTGGTTCTGCCGCCTGCCTTACAAGCGCAAGGTCCCGAGTTCGATCCCCGGTACCAAACAAACCAAAACCAAAAACAAAATGATTGTGAAAGGTAAAAGTTCTGAATTGATCCAGAACATCAAGCCACAGCAGCACATTTAAAGATACTCACAAAAGCCGACTTCCAGAACTGCTTCAGAAAGTGGCAAGAACAATGGGATAAGTATGTTCCCAGTGAGGAGGAGGATTTTGAGGGGGATTAATGACAATGTATCTTTTACTGTAATAAAATTTTAAAAATTTAAACATTTAATATAGTTTTCCATTGTGCCTCATGTGTGTACATAATCATGTACATATAAATACATTTCTGTTTATCTCTTGTCTGCAGAAGTGGTGTTGATAACTCTTGTTGCTGGTGACCCCTGAGAAAAGTTGCTGTAAATCTGCTGCTTTTTTTGCTTAAGTTAACCCACCAAATCATCTTGAGCTCATCTACCCTCTTTCCTGAGTTTCTGCCAGGGAGGCTGGCCATATTTTAACCACCTCCACAAATACCACAACCCTTTGAGTTTTTTTCTAACCCAGATTCCAGGAATAATTCTGATAGCAGAATCTATAGATTCTACCACAATAGAAGGAGACTAAAGAGTGGTCTCTTGGTACTTTATGGTGAAACTTTTCTAAAAGAGATACATAGTTTGGGGGAGGATTATAATGATGAAAAACTTCTTAAATTATTCTAAATCTATGGTTAAAGCCCTGGCTTTTTTTTTCCCCTCACAAGTGATATAAAAAATAGTAGCAGGCTACTGAGGTGAGTCTTTCACTACGTTGTTAGCTCTTGCAGTTATAGGACTCCAGACACATTTATGGATAAAAGAAATAGTACGGAACACAGAGCTCTTTCCAGGGTGTTAGGGAAAAGTATCTGAGATATTTGAAATCATACTTTATTCCTGACTTTC